GTTTCAAGCTGTGTCTAGAAATGAAAGAACAAAATAACATTTTTTTTTCCATGTGACAACACGATTCCATTTCTACTGTTTTAAGAAGAATCACCAAGTGACATGTGAATGCACATTGTGAGTTCAGCTAGCAATGCAGTCCTATCCTCCTGCAACTCAACTCAGTGCCCATCAGCTCATTTTATTTTTGCATGGCTGTTTCTGCTGCTAGATCTAAACAACAAAAAATAATAAAAGAAACAAAAACATGTTTTCTGTACTTCAGCAGCCCCCCAGCCCTTTGCAACCAATGTGATCTGGGGACAGTGCATGCAGAAGATAACACAGATAAAGGAGTTTCCTTTAAAAGATAAGCTGTGGGAAGTACTGATGAGTATCAGGTAGCCTTGTAGGAAGACCAGGAGAACTTCCTGTAGGAATGATAAGGGTAGAGGACTGCTACTTTCTGTGTAACAGTCTCATTCTCTTCTCATCAAACTTCTCAGGAGTGGAAGGTTTAATCATGATAAAACATGATATTCAGGTTTGGCACAATCATAGAATCGTTAAGATTAGATAAGACCTTTAAGATCATCTAGTCCAAATGTCAACCCATCTCCACCATGTCCACTAAACCATGCCCTTCAGTGCCACATCTGTCCTTTTCTAGAAGACCTTCAGGGATGGTGAATCCACCACCTTCCTGGGAAGTCTGTTCCACTACTCTTTCTGAGAAGAAATTTTTCCTGATTTCCAACCTGAACCTCCTCTGGCACTACTTAAGGCCGTTTCCTCTTGTCCTGTCACTGGTTATCTGGGAGAAGAGGCTGATCTCCACCTCTCCACAACCTCCTTTCAGGGAGCTATAGAGATCCATTACTGTCTCCCCTGTGCCTCCTTTTCTTCAAAGTAAAAAATTACAGTTCCCTCAGTTTCTCCTTATAAGACTTGTGCTCCAGATCACCAGCTTTGTTGCCCTTCTCTGGACACGTTCCAGGGCCTCAGTGTCTTTCTTGTAGTGAGGGGCCAAAACTGCACACGGTGCTCAACTTGTGGCCTCACCAGTGCTGAATGCAAAGAGATGATCACCATATTCTCACATGCACCCTTCCCACTGGAACATCTCTGACCACACTGTGTGTTTGGTTTCCCCTTTGTGTTTCCCTCACAGCCCTGAGCAGCAGCTTCTGAGGGCTTCTGCCAGCTGCTGGTACCACTAGTAACACTGAAACCAATGCAGACTGTGCATGCTGGTAAAGAAGAGAAGTCACTGTGATGTTAGTGCCTGTTCTTGTTACTTGGTTCGTTACACAAGTGGCAGTGGTTTTATTTGTTGTGTAAGGCAAGCTTTTGTGAGCTCATTCAAAAATGAACTTTCCTGAGACTATTTTTAGAGGTGATTACCAAGATTTAGATTAGACTAGATTAAGTAAGGGCTTTTGCAGAGATGATACATCTGCTAAGCTATACCTTTACTTAAAGACATGCAGCCTGACTGGTAGAAGGGGGATTACGAAATGCGTGAGTTGAGCATATCCCACAGAATGGAGGGGGAAAACTGTGGCTCTTCATTTGCATGTCTGAAGACTGCCCCGTGTTTGTTCCTCCTGGAGTGGGATTCACCCTGTAACATGAATTGGTTTGTAATGCTGAGAAGCAAAGGTGGCATTTTTGTGCCTTGCATGTTCAGCCGCTGGAATGTATAGTGTCATTCAGGCTTGCTTTTGTTGCCAGGTTCTGCTTTAAGCACTGTGCTTCTCTGCAGATCATTGGGAATTGCATGCTGCTGCATCCCTCCGCACCAGAACACCTTTCTGCACCTGTCTCGTTGCTTTCCCCTGCAAAATCAGCATCTCTCCAGGCCAGGTGCTGGGTTTTGTCCTAACAGTGGTTGAACAAAATTCATTTAAATTCCTGACTTTTTTTTTTCCTGATATAAATTTGCACATGGCTAAGCTGTTACAGCTCTTTCTCTCAAAGGTCAGCTTGAATTATTTTGTGCAGATAATGTTAAAGCTTATGCGCCTGATGGATTTCTGTGGCACATAACCACCACTTCTCATGGGACTGATGACCCAAATAATTACCTCATCTCAGTCACCACTGATCTCATCAACTAAACCAATTACAATACAAGCTCAAGCCACTTACAAAAGTTTCTCAGATTGCTTTATATGGACTGGAAGATTTTATGCGTTGTACACAAATTGGTACATAGCCGATAGGGACGTTCAGCACTAAATTTTACTCTCTTTTACCAGGACACAGATGAGGAGCTTCATTATTAACCTAAGTTCCATGGAATGGCAGAGTAATGGAGGTCTGCTTTTCCCTCAAATAACATTAGGGGATTTCTTTTGCAGTACTTACGCTGATTATGTGGCTTTATGTAATTAAAAAGAAATACATTTTCATGTTATGTATAACACAAAATATTAATTTTCTGAATTATTTTTTATTTTAGTAAATGAATGGAAGTCAGTTTAAAACCTCTTGTTACTCTATATGTTATTTTTCTTCCATTTCTATTACTTGTAATATTGTTTGTGCAATATGCTTTTAACTTAGGCATAATTTTCATAGCTCTCTCTACTTATGATTATAGATTGTAATGAATCATTATCATTTAATTCAATTACAGGCTGGTTTAATCTGTTAAGCCAACCTTGCAGAATTGTTGCTAATTGTCACTGATATTATACAGACTGCTCACAAAACAAACTGGACAATTCTTTATCCTGATGTTTATAAAACAAAGTGGATAATGTCAGTTCAGCCTTCTGCCAGAAACATTTTTTTTCTGGGATAATAAGCAAAAAGCTATAATAATCTGTTTTTATTTTCAGTATTTTAGTAGAAAATAAGTTGCCTGAAGAAATTTTTTTTAAAGCGAAACTAATTGTGTGCTGTATGTGGTTTGCTCTGCTGTTCAGCTTGAGTTCCTTATTGATCCTCTGGTATTTTTCTGATCTCTATTATCCGTAATGATCTAGTTTACAAATAGCATGACATCTGTATTTTTGTTGTAAAATCTGATCTATAAAATTGTCTCCTGAGATATCCATTGTCTCACTTAATCAGACTTGTTATGTCATTAGCCAACAGAGCTGAGCAACTCAGAGTCTGTTTTTGTAGCGGCAGCATTATTCAAGTCTTAAGTGGAATTAAAGGCACATGAAGGCATTTCAGTTTAAAATGAATGACAATTTATCTCCAGCTATTTTATTATATTACAAACATGCACATTTCAAAATAATGCCTCTATGGGAATTTTTAATAAATACCATTATTCCAGTTACAGAAGAATGGTGTAAATTTCTTGGAGTTCTTAAGCACTGCTTGAGGAAGATGCAGCAACATGTGGTTAACTTCAGGTAGTCCCACGCCTGAAATTGTCCATTTGAGAATGAGCCAAGGATATTTTATTTATAATACATGGAAAATTGGGACTGTCTGCTTTGCCAGATAATCTAAATAAAATACTGCTAATTATGCCTTGTCACTTTAAAACAAAGGAGGTTTTTTCAAAAATGTTAGTTACATAAACATAAAAAATGTCACACTGTCCAGAAGAGCTGTGGGGCAGCTCTGTGAAATGCTAAATATTTCCTCAGCACCTGGCAGTATCATGGCTTCTAGTTGAACAAAAAAACACAAAACCTGTTACTGAGATCAGTTTGAACATCTCTCCTCTTATGTGACACAGTCTGCAGTAAATTTTAACATAGAAACAATGGATGAAATGCTTTCTTGTCTGTCACATGGAAACTGTGTCTGATAGTTGAAAAATGAAAAGGATCTCCTGCGCAACTCAGGGAAGCCAACAGGCCAAGACTCCTGTAGTGAAGAAATCACTTTTCTTATAGTCCAGAAGCACCACTGCCATTTTATGTGTATGATATCCTCAGCTATCCTTCTGCACAGAGAATCAAAGCAGATTTTTTGTTTGTTGTGTCTCGTTGGTCTTGGTAGATGACTGGCAGAACCCTGGCTGCCAAGCAGGAGAGGACGGATGTCAGCTAACAAACCAGCCCTTCAGAATTAGGAATACTGTGCTTGCATGGTGGGATACACCAAGAGCTATTTCTCCTGGTCACTACTTTTGTTATGGTATGCATTTGAGAACAGTTTGAGTCATTACTATATCATTTCAAGTAAGTGGTGGTTGGGGATATGTAAAAGGGGGGGAGGGAAAACATAGATGGAGAAAGGTTGGGTTGAAGTTTTAAAGGGAGGAATATGTCTGGGAATTTATATTTTTGACAACAACAACAACAAACAAACAAAAGGCAAATTCATTTTTTTAAAAAAGTTACTACATTCTACATATGCTGACCATTTCACAAATGCCCTAAAATCATTTGTATGAGAAACAGAATAACTGATGCCTTAGTAGAATTGTAATTAGTGTATAGGAACTGTTATGTCACAGCCTGAACCACTGATTGATCACCTGGGACAAGGACTGAGTCAGCTGTGGGAGCACAGGTGAAGGCAATTCAGCTGTGTGACTGGAAGGGGTGGAGCCTGGCTACATCTCTCCTAGACCCCCCATTTAAGGGCTGACTGCCACTGGAAAAGGGTTTCTTTCTGGAGTTCCTTCCTTTTGGAGTTCTTTACTGTGAGCCTAGGACATGAGTGAGCATTTCATTTTTGATTGTGTCTTTCCACCATGATAATCTTTCTAACTATAAACCTGTAAAATCCTAACCACGCTACTCTTCTAACTGTACATTTGTTAATTGTACAAATGAGGTAAGATGTTGTGTCTAGTGTGACAACAATCAGGTTGTTCAAATTTAGAATTTCTGAGATAAAATTATATATAATGCTTTCTTTTTATCTTCTGAGAAACATAAGATGCACAGCTGTATCATAATGTATCAACTGCTGTACCAATTGCTTCAAGAAACACTTTTGAAAGAAATGTTGTTTTTATAATTATTAATTGAGATTTTTAGAAAGAGCTCAGTACATATAATGGCTGTGGATAGTTGCTACAAGAAATTAAAAATTCCTAACTGCTAACTCATATTGTGGTAGGTTGAGTGTGTTTGCTGGTCAACCTTTACATAGTAATTTTCAGCAAGTAGAGGACAGGCAGGGCAAGAAATGAATGCAAAGAAGAGAAAAGGGGGGAAAAAAACAGCTTAAAACTACAAACTATCATGGTGTCATTGATCCAGGTTTAGGAGAATAACAGACAAATCCAAGGGTTTATTATAATTCTTGTTCTGAAGCCGTAGTTGTCTCTTGCAAGTCAAGTTATCTGAAGTATCCTTAAATGTGGCACCAAGGACAGCTGCCTTTCCCACCACTGCGCCGTGATGCCGTGAAGCACCAACTGGTGGGTACTCTCGGAGGGCCTGCTGGTGGCTCTGAGGCCCTGTGCACTGATGAGAAGCATGTGACTGTAATTCCAGTTTAAAAATACAGAATGGTTATTGATTTATTCTGAGAAAATTTCTGCTGAAATCAGAATGCTGGTGTCTAACATTGGGAAATAGACCCTATATACGTTAATGCCAAAGCTGTCTTGCAAAAAGAAGAGCTAATGTTTGTCATTTTTTATTTTCTTGTTTTAAAAAGTTTTTCTTTTCACTTTTAAAGAGAACAGTATACGACACATCATCTCAGAATCACAGACTTGCTGAATATGTATCTCCTGTGGAAGTCTTCTACAAAAACATCTCAGTACTGAGTGAAACATTCTTCCATCAGAGAAGATAACTAGTCTAAATAACTTTTACAACTTGTTAAAAATACCACTTTCCTCAAGAATTGTCAGAATTTTCAAAGATTAGGATTCCTCTTCTTTACTGAATTGCAGAACTGTATGGGTTGGAAGTGACCTCAAGAGATTGAGTCCAGCTCCTTATTGTCAAGAATTTTAGGTCTCCAAATTGTTGTATGCTGAGTTTTCTGATACTTGTAATTGACGTTTTTCTGAATGGCTGGCTGATGTTTTAAATCTGCAGAACTTTTAAAGTGGTAAAGACCTATATCCCAAACATTACATGAAAGATTAATTTTTAGTGAACTAAAATAAGTTTGAAGTTCTTACTGAGTGGACATTGATACAGTTTTTTAAAGCTAAGACTGATTATATTTTAGTAAAATTTAAGTGCATCTGAACAATCCATCAGAAGAATATGTATTTTTTCTTAATGATCATTACCTGAGGTCATAACTATGTGTATATGTATCTATATATCTTTAAACAGAATCCTCTGTACAGTTTCAATAAAATGCATTGAATTATTACAGTTTTTTCACAGAGAAAATGAGATGCTCTTTATAAAGGAGTTTGGGGTTTTGTTTCATATTGAGGATAGTGGTGAGCAGAGAATAAAATAAATCAGAGTAATTATCTAATGATGTAATTGAAAAATATTGTAGATAACCTGTGAGCATCCTAAAGAGCTGGCCTTGCCTCCAGATTTTTATGAAGCTGGTTGCTGCCTAAACCAAAGGAGCTATCCAGAACGAGAGTGAGCCAGGACACTGAAATATTTATACCTGGTTATGATGACAATATATCAGAAGCCACAGTTGTGATCATTTGGTGAATGGTTCTGCCTCACATGTGTCTACAGGGGATAAAAAATAAAAAGAGTATAGAAGCAAGAGCAGTTTAGAAAAGAGACAGAGGAGTCAGCCTGGGCCATGCTGTCTTTTACACTTCAGAAAGCTTTAGTGTCATCTTTTTCTCTTATTTCTTTTCATAACTGGATTTTATTTCCTGCTGCTACTTGTGGTGGTGAGCAGGCAGTGCATCTGGGCATGCAGGGACACCAGAGAGGCTGAGATGTGTCTCTCTCACCCTGTCCTTTTGGAAGCCAGAAGCTAATGCTGATTTCAGGGCAGTGGTGCTGGCCATATAGGGCAGCTGAAGGAAGCTTTGGTGTGTCCACGGGTGCTTTCACTTGGTGTATGTCAGCTTGGCACACCTTGACATAGGACTGCTGAGATATCCTGACAGCTGGAGATAATGGAATTGATCACTGTGGTCAAGCAAGTAGTCAGAGTTTAGCACTGTAGTTCCATGTAATTAAAGACAAGCGTACTTTGATGCATTTTAGAGAAGCTCCCACTTTGTTGCTGTTGAGAGATAGGCTGTCTCAATGCCAAGCCAAGGTTTGAGGTTCACTTCCTGGGTTGGCTTCCTCCTGGAAATTGTACAGCTTCCAGCCATCATAAAGCACATTAAAGAGGAACTCTGACAGTGATTATATTTATGCTTGTCAGGAATGTTAGGTTCTAATGGCAAAGATCAAACATTAAAAGATAGCAACAGGTAGTAAGAGCACAGCTCCTCCCCATTGCTATCCCTTCAGAGAACAAGTCTGTTGTTCAGAGAATTCCTATTCACGTTAGGTACTATTCATCCTACCTGCCTGGTTCCTTTTATTGTACAATAAAATTTGATTTATTCTCATTTGAATACAGAGTATATAGCTGTGTAAGTTTAAGATGGTTATAAACAGTTACTTTCCAAGTAGAGCAATATAAAGCCTACTGCCCGAGGTATTTCTGAGGCATGACAAGCATTACTCGCCAAAGGGCAGAGACAGAAAGCTGTGTTTTGGATCTGAACATTGTGCCTGGAGCTAATCACTGGTTATGCTGATACCTGCTCAGTTCTTCACTCTTAAAAAAAAAAAAAGCCAACAGATGAAAAGCATGCAAATGTGCTTCCTCAGTGGACTTATCCTGAGTCTGGTAAGCCTAACTCTTTCTATTTTGCTTACAGAATGGTCTCATCGTTGCCTGTTACCAAGGATATGTGGATATTGTCATAGCCTTATCACAATGCCCTCATCTTGATGTGAACTGGCAGGACAACGAAGGGAACACAGCCCTGATCACAGCTGCACAGGCAGGTAAAGGTCTCCTCTGCTTCTTGTATGGGGTCTTAGGAGGGATCCATGCTGTAGCTGCTATTTTTAGGATTTTTTTCAAAGCCTTAGAAGAAATTAGTTTGCATAAGATTATCCTGGCCAAGCCTGCTCCCAAATAAACTTGTCATTATTTTTTTTTTTAACTAATTAATCTAAAGCAATATTTATCCTGTAGACTAACAGTGAATAAGCCATACATTTCCATCAGATGCCATTAAATATTTTAATTTAAAAATAAAGTGTGACCAGAATGTGCAGTCCTGAATGACTTGGTTTCTTTAAACTCATTTCCTATGTTTGCTTGGATGAGCACCCGGTCACCACTGCTGTACCATAATGTGCTGTATTGCTGCTCATAGCTCTCTGTCTCATGTTCATTACACCTTCCTCAGTGAGTTTGTAATGAGTGCTGACTGTAGGAAAATGTATCATCATTCAGAAATTTCAGTGTACATCTAAAAAACATTTCTAGTGAGTAACCAAACTTTGCCCTGTGTTGCACCTAAAAGTGAGCTCTGATAGAGAACCCTGAAAGAAGGAATTGCAACCACAGTTATGTTCAGAGCAAAGTTGTGAGCGTGGCAGCTTTTTAAAGTGGAGAAGTCTCCAAAGCTCTCATCTTTTATTTATCTGCCCTAACACAAATTTGGACAGTAGAAGGTTTAACATTAACACCAACTCCTTCCTGATAGTTATAACTCACGCTAATGAGCTCAGAATTAATCTGGAGGGCTGACATTGACTTGACTCTGTCTGCCAGCACTTGTTATTGATCCCCAACGCCTCTGCAAATGACTGCAGTCAGCAGAAGCATACACAAACCCCTGACAACTGGGAAGTTTTCCCCTGCCTATGATAATCCTGAGCTCTGACACTGACACCAGTTGTTTAATTCATCATCATGAGACACAGCTGTAGCATTAATACAGATTACCATGTGGTTAACACTGCAACCAGAGTAGCTGCAGTGTGATAGATGCTGCTTAATTACTGCTGAACTTTAAGTAGCAACACTAAGCAGCGTGTTACAAAGAACTGAAAGAAAAGCCTGTGCTATCTCACCTTCAGTGGTGGGTTGATTCAGTTTTACTGAATATCATTTCTGCAAAACAAATTATTCGAGAAGCTCTCTGACATTTATGCAAAAATATATATATTTATATATTTTCTACAGAAAGTCTAGTTATTTCAGCTAACTGCAGGGTGGTATCCAGGTGGTTTCAGAGAGTGCTTCTGCTCTTGTTATGGTCCCATAAACATCTGTATGTGCTTAAGAAGTGTCATGGCTGCCTAGACGTGTTGTTTCAGTGTAGTCAGCATCTAAAATTAAGTAGAATTATTTTACAGACCAGCAAGAGTCTCAGAAGAATACTGAATTCAGTTCCTTTTACCCCTCTGGTTTTGATAATTTTAGATTCACATCTTTCAAAGAACCCGTCTTAAATTGAAGCCTTTCTGCATGGGTTGACCTGAAGAAAATAGTCTGAGGAGATCAGATCAGTGAGAAGCAGTGGGTTCTGAATAAGAAATAATTCATATAGAAAAAACAACCACAGACAAAGCATTTTAATGTCAAATGTAGATTTCAGGTTTGAAAATGGGTCTGTTTTCTTGATCTCTCAGCATTTCTTACAGACATAGTATCCTTCTCAAGAGGCATTTCCCTTGGAAAACTGAAAATTGGTAGTAGCCAGCAGGGGGTGAAATACAGAAACAGGCGGTGGTGCTGCTAAAGGAGAAATAAAGTCATTAATTGGCAGAACAGGGGAAGTGTAGAAAAAAGAGTAAGATTGATGCAAACGAGAGAATGAAATAACATGCAGCAAAAAGGAAGGAAGGAAAATGGTTACAAAGAAGGAAAGAGGATGAAAGACTACATTAAATAAAAAAACTGCTGATTCTCAATTCTGCTGTTGATGACAGCATAGTTACATTAGTGGCAACGTATGGTAATTGGCATGTGCTGGGCTTTAGAGCTGTAATTGTTCCTTTTTAAAGTATGGATATTATACATCACAGGGTCCAGTTTGGGGCAGGCACACAGAAACACAAATCACAAAGTAGCCTATTTCTTTGCATTAATGGTGGTATTAGAATGCAACTACCTCAGACATACAGATCATAACAACCATGCATCTTCAGTATTACTTGTCTGTCAGAAAGCAGTCAGTGTCTATAGATCAAATGCAGGCTATCTGGAAACACAAGTTATGTCCAAGCATTGACACTACATGACAGAGCATCCTCCTTATTACACAGAGTATCCTTCTGTCTGCATTAAATAGATTATTAGGAATTATTGTAACCATTACATACATTCTCTCTGTGGTAGCAATAAAGTGAACTAAGCTGTTACAGACATCTGTGCTGTTTACTAAATGTGTCTCATAGGGCGAAGAACTGTGCCCTCAGCATGCCAGTCCTCCAGCAGGTAAAGCTGGCTTACAGACAGCAGAGCAGCAGCTTGATTCAGATCCCATGTTGCTGCCCTGCCTGATGCTAGGCTCATTTATTGCAGAGCTTCATGCAGCTTCCATTGCAGGCTTTAAATCATGAAAGACTCGCTCACCTGATTTATGGCCTAGATATGCGCTACTAGTTCCTACAGATACAGGAGAACTGAAGCAAACATTGTGGCCTTAAATCAAAAGCATATGGCACGGTCTGAACACAAACTTGGCAGATCTGAGTTTTGCTTTGAATTTGATGTCTGTTTGAACTTGAAATTTGAAACAAACCTCAGAGGACAGAACCTCCTGCAAACTGAAACTGAAGTGATTTTCAGGAATCCCCATGAAATGAAGGTGCTGGATTTTGTGTTTTATTTCCCCCACGCTGTTGGGCCATCTGTAATACCCCAGAGAGTTTTGCTTGAGCAAAGTCCTTTGGGTTGTCTCTTAGGCTTCCTCTGATTCACAGAAAAAACATCTTACTTCAGCTATGGTCCTGACAAAGGGAAGAATATCTTTAGTAATGTATAAGTGCTGAAAAATTGTCCGTTTTATTATTTCTCCTTGGTTTGCTTCCCGTCTCCAATTTCTCTGTCAAAAAGCATTATTTCAGCTGTTACAAACCAATCATGAAGCACACTATACATTAATGAAACAGAAAATGTCCTACAAAACAGCTTGGACATGAAGCTTCTCTTGGTAGTAACTGATACCCTGTCAGAATTTGGTCTCACACAATAAAGTCAGTGAAGCTGAAGCCTCTGTGCTGAGTAAGCAGAACTGGGACACTCAATCCTGCCTTGAGCATGGTTCACTTTTGCTGTTCAGCTTACTGCAGTTTGCTGTATCTTTACGTTTCATTTCCATCGGCCCATCCAAGGTACTGTGAGCATCTTCCCTGATTTTCACTGACTCTGGCACTATTGAACTGATCCATGCTCTCTCCCCACCTGTTCAGGTTTCAGCAGGGTATCCAGTTACATGGCAAGGTAGCAGAGTCCAGCATATTCTAGGAGACAAAGAATAACACCTGGAAAACATTTGAAATTCAATGCTAAAGCTTTTCTTAACTTGCTTTCCAAAGTGAGTTCAGGACTGCATTGGTGCAAAGCAACATCTGATGAAATCTGCACCAGATGCAACACCATAAGCTTTGAGAAGTGTCCTGTATGAATTATAATCTGCTTCAGTAACATTTCTAGATAAATTTGAGTGATATGCATCACAGAATATTCAGCTGGACTGCGGAGAGAAATGAGAATATTTTTACAGTGCCTTGTAATTAAACTGTGATTGTCGCAGCTGCCTGGCAGACTGCATTATTTCATAGAGCATGAAAGCATCATAAAATGAATGGCAAAAAAAGGGTAAAGTTTTTTGAATGAGTCATAATGGCACTGGATATTTGCCTTGTTCTGAAGGTCCAATTATAAAGGCTTGATGTTTTAATTAGTCTTCCCACCAGCTAGCCAGAGATAGTTTCAGCTACTAAACACACCCCTGCTGACACCAGTTGTTCCACACTCGTGAGGCACATTAATGGTAAAAAGTTGCTTCTAGAGACAGAACTCAGGGTGTTTATTTTGCTACCTAAACTGAAGTGCAGCTCCATTTTCCTGCTGCTGAAAAATGGACAAGTGGCTTTGCATGGTCAGATAGGAAAGTAAAAATGTGGGAGCCAGTGCAAAATATTTATTTGCCTAGTATGTGGCTGGCATAGTTTGCTTGTAGTATTGGCTGGAACTACCACATGTAATTACTTCTTAATGAAGCACTGTGACTGTAAGGCTCAAATGTATCAGAGGGGTGAAAAAGCTGAATCTTTGCTAGGAGTTCCCCCAGGGGACAGTCAGTAGGACCCCTTATTCTTGAAGGGTGAGGCCCCTTCAACCCCAGAGTGACCACCTCTGATCTTTAATTTTTCCTGTACCTTAGATTCATTTTCAGAGAGGGAGAAAACCTTACGAGGGCACCCCGATAGGCGGTAGGATTCCAGCTTTCCAGGACTATCCCACGTTCTGCCACAGGACAGTGCCACCTAATGCTGAAGCCAATGACTGCAATGAGCAGAAAAGTTACTTGAGAACAGATCCCATTCATCGTCCGTATTTTTGCAATAATCAAACCTGCAGGAGCAATTTTTGGTTTGACCTTGAGGCTGGCTCTTAATTCTGTGATGGATTTTCTCTGCTTCTTCTTCTCTCTTTTTTTTTTCTTTAAGGGCACATAACCATTACAAACTATCTGTTGAACTATTTCCCTGGGCTTGACATTGAGAAGAGGAATGTGTTTGGATTTACAGCACTGATGAAATCTGCAATGCAGGGACGAACGGAATGCGTGAAAGCTTTGATGATGGCAGGTATGCAAAGTGATTTGCTGTTTCTTCTTCATCTTCTAACTGCAAATACTAGACCATCACACATAAACATCTGCAAGGGATGGTGAGAACATTGGGGCAGCATCCTCTGCAGGAGCAAGGCTGACTCTTGACAGGGCCATATAACACCTTTTAGCCATAGCGTTGTGTGCTTTACTGTGTTAAGTAATTGGTACATAAATTATTAGTTAACAATTAAAGAATTAGTATATACGTATGTTAGTGTACCTTATTTTTTTACAGTTGCAGGCATTGGACACACATAATTGGACAAAATAAGTTTTTATGGAAATGATAATAGATAGCATATGAATATCGTTGTTTAGACTCCAAATCCCACAAGTCCATTTAATTGTAGGCTGAGATGTTGAATAGGTAGTTCATTTCTGCTGTTTTGCTGCCACAGAAGTTTAATCCTTCATAATTTCATAGAATTGTAGAATCTTAGAATGGCCTGGGTTGTAAGGGACCTCAATTATCATTATCATGAATCTCCAGCCCCCCACCACATAGAGGGTCGCCAGCCTCCACATGTAATACTAGACCAGGCTGCCCCATCCAGCCTGGCCTTGAACACCTCCAGGGATGGGGCATCCACAACCTCTCTGGGCAGTCTGTTCCAGCACCTCACCACTCATCATAGTAAGCAGAACTTAAATTTGACTGTTTAAGTAGAAGGCATTTATCAAACATAGTGACATTACTTTAATCCATTTTTATAATATCCAGTTTCTTGATGTTGATTTCTGACACAGAAATGCTTGAATGATATGGCAACTGGCATTATTTTCTGCAAAGTTCTCCAGCCTGTTACACTGGAATCAAGGTTTTGTGGAGTCAGATCATTCATTTTGGAGTTAAATTTTTATGAAACAAAGTTATGAAATAATGGTTAGAGCTGGTATATTGCTAGACACAGCTGCACTTTCTGAACTAATGTCTATTTCGTGCAGATGCTAGTTCAGAATTTTCCAGTGGCTGTTATAAATTATCACTTAAAATGAAACTTCAACCCCCATACCTTAAAACTTGTCAGATTGACCTGACAGTGTCATGGCTTTTTATTATTATCACTGGGGATCTGATGGAAACTCGTTCTGCCTGTTTTGGTCATGACAAGCTATTTCACAACTTTCCATCATTGCAGGTAACTCAGTATAGACATCAAGTTTAACATATGGTTGCTGCCTCTTGCATCTGAATAGCCACCTACTTTTCTTCCTGTTCTGTAAGCAAACAGATCAGTGTGAAGAACAAACCTTTCACCAACCAGAAAATGACTTTGTTAGCCTCCTGTGATGTTTACCTACAGAAAGTTATGTTGGGCTAGTTGTGCATTAGAGATAGTGAGGGTAGCAGAGAACATCTGTTGGCTAAAACGTTGTAGGATTAATCATAGAATATCCAGAGTTGGAAGGTATCCATAAGAATCATTGAGTTCAAATATACTACAGATTTCTAAACTGCAGTTTATTTGAATGTTTTAGTGATCACTTTGCAGGTCTGCACATTTTCAGCTGAAAAACAGGGACCATTTCAATATCCAGTTATTGCATAGCATTGCACAGCCTGGTGAAATGGAGGGGACAGAGCAGCTTGTTCAGAATGGATTTAGAAACAGTTTGGGGGTGAAGGAATTCTGAGTGGCTGCTGACTATAAAGTGCTGCTTTGTAATGTAATGTAATACATGTAATGTAATGTAATACATTGTTGTTGAATGATCTGGGGAAAAAATCAGTTTCATAAATAAAACAGTTCCTTAGGTTCCAGCTAAATTCTATGTTAAACAGTAAGAACACATGGAAATTTGGGGGGGGGTGGGTGGGGAGGAACCCATAATCAGCCATGAGTCTCTTTGCGTAACCTCTGACTGTTGTACAGCAACAAAATAGGCATGTGTGCTGATAAAAGAGTTAAATCCAGTATCTGCTTAGTGGCTTGGGTGAGATCTCTGTTTTCTGGCAATTTCTTATGGCAATGCAGGATATCAGTAAAGGGAAGCTCACTTTTCTAGCTGCCTAAGTAGAATTTGGCTGCTGGATGGGAAAGGGACATGAGCAGAGTGCGATAGATGGTTGGAGATGGATTTTTTAAGTGGACGTTCTTCCTGAAGTTTGAGTTCCTGGAGAGTGGCCGAGGTCAATCACTGTAAGACAGAGGTGCTCTGAGACACTTGGCTGTAATGTTTCCTCTTTCAAAGTGATTCTTTGGAAGGTAGGGGTTTGTGATTTGGGAGTGCAAAGTGAAAAAGAGAGGAGCTGAGCCACTCATGGGCAGTTTGTCATGGGTGGTTGCACAGTGAGGACTAAATAGTGCCAGCAGCCAGTGAGCCTGGGCAGGAACACAGGAATGCATCATTGCTCACCACTCAAGCCTTGCTGAAATCTCCAGTGCAAACTCAGTGCTGCTTCAGTAAAGCCGCTAGTGTGGCAGTGGTCATAGAGACTGGGCTTTAAATACTGTGTATGAAACAGCTGGTTAATAGATGCCTGCCTCACTGTGCTCTCCTGTTAAACACAGAGTGCCCCAGTGCCAACGTGTTGGCCATGCACGTGCTGCTCTCACCTGCTCCTTCTGTTGCCCTCAGCCACCTTCATCAGCTCCCTCCTGGGAAATCTCTCCTGTGATTTTGTTTTCTTCTTTTTGGTCTGATGCTTATACCTAAACTAATACAGGAAGTTTATGGGTCTGAGCAATATTTCTGAGCTAAGAGCTCCCAGACCCAAAGTCCTGCCTCTTGTGGATCTTCTGCAGTAATGTGTGTGAGCCTCCATGATTCTGTGCTGACAAGGCCATGCCCCATTCTCCCCCTGTCGGATGGACTCAAACTCAGTCAGAGCATTGTCTGAAGGGAATCAGAGCTGATCTTTGTGAATTTCTCTCTCAAGGCCCTTCAGCAAGGCAAGGCCAAGCAAAAGGGGCATGGTTGCCTGTCAGCAAACCCTCTAGGATTTGATGGACAGTCTGAGGTTCCACCTCAGAGATGAAGAGCATGGCCAGCAGGTTAAGGGAGGTGATCCTTCCCCTCTATTCTGGCCCGGTGAGGCCACATTCAGACTGTTGTGTCCAGTATTGGGCTCCCATGTTCAGAAAAAAAGACAGATCTCCTAGAAGAAGTCCGGCGAAGGGCCACAAAGATAATTAAGGACCTGGAGCATCTCCCATATGAGGAAAGGCTGAATAACCTGGGTTTGTTCAGCCTAGGGAAAAGAAGACTGAGGGGAGATCTGATAGATGTTCATAAATATGTAAAAGGAGGTGGGAGGCAAATGGATGAGGCTCTTCAGGTGTGATGTGATATGATAAGGAGTAATGGCCTAAAACTTGAACATACAAAGTTCCATATAAATCTGTGAAAGAACTTGTTTACACTAAGAGTGACAGAGCACTGGGACAGGTTGCCCAGAAAGCTTGTGGAGTCCTCCTGTGGAGATATTCAAGATCCATCTGGACCTGTGGGACCTGCTTTAGGAGGACGGTTGGACTTGATCTCTTGAGGTCCCTTCCAACCCTTGGGATTTTGTGATTCTGTAATTCTGTGTCTAGTTTATATTTTTAAAAGGACATGACTATTCATGTCTCATACAGGTGTGACATTTTGTTAAGTGACAGTTTTTTTTAAAAAATGCCTTGGATTTGAACAGAAAATCAATACCACAATAGCAAATCATGCCTTACAAGAGATCTTGTGTCACGAGTTACAAAGTCAACATTGATTTCCACTGAAAGATCAGGATTTCTACACTATGTAGTGTTCTTTTCTGAAATAAAGTTTCCCAAATACCTGGGTACACATCTGTCAGGAGCAGTGAGGGATGGCTTCACCTCAAAGATGAGTGATCCAAGGGCTGCAGCAAGGCACAGAGGCACTGGCCTCCTCAATAAAGGCACTTCTTCAAGGAGCAGAGCAGGTTGGGTGACAATAACCACAGTCAGCTAAGTCCATGGTGTTTAGGCAAGACCACAGGGACAGGGGAGGTCTGAGGTGAAACCAGTGAGTGCAGGGCAAGGTCAACAAGACACGTGGCCAGGCACAGCTGCAGCACAGCTCAGGCAGCCTCCAAGCAAAGGTAAATTTAGACACAATTCCTTTAGCTTCTACTTCTCCCTTAGTAAATCTTTGCCTGTTATGTGAAAAGCAAAGAAACAACTTCCACATAGTCTGCCATGTTTCCAGTCAGGTTTAGGAGTACAGACACAGGTGAGTATTCAGAAGGGGACAACACAACAGTCTAGAACAAGAGAGTCAGGGGTAGGAATCTGGGCAGGAGGATTTCAGAAACAGGCTCTAGTGTAGCAGGAGGAAATGTCTTTTTGTGCCTTTCTTCCAACCTCCTCTCCCTGGTCTATCTGTAGCTTCTGTTGTCATGAACAGCTTCAAACTCCTTGCCTTTGAGCTCTCACAAGCCGACAGCTAATGAACTCTTTGTTTTGATCAAATCTTCCTCTTCTTCGCTTCCTTCAAGTTTGGGCTCCATGCTTCACTCTTTCAAGTGTTTCTGTGCTTTCTCTCTGGATGATTCCACAAACTTCACTTAAACTCCTCTTAAATTGAGATCAACTTCTTTGCTTTGGGTTTCTCCTTCCATTCACATTCACTCTTTTTTCTCTGTCTCCAACTTTCTCTTTTAGAGGTTTTCTCAGGGAATTTGGAGTCAAATGATACTTAGTAGGGTTAAAACTGAACTTCCAGTCACTTTCCCTGTGCTCTCCTTTTTCCTGTTTTCTGTAACAGTTGAACACTCCTTGAGTGGAAGATTAAACTAGAGCCATTAGAAACCAGTTTCTGGGTGCCTTTCCTGATACCTAGTTCCTCTCACGTTGGTTTGAAATGCTGTCACTGAGATAAATCCAACTGGGAAAAAATAATTCATCATGATTCTTCTCTGGCCTTTTCCCCAGGTCTCAGTCTCTGTGCATGTTCATCTTCCAAAGCAATGTGACAGAACGCCTTTCTTTTTTGACAAGATATCTGTAGGTCGGTGATGTGTTGGCTGTTTGAAAGTGACACTTCATCTGATAGAGAAGCTCGTCAAGAAGTCAGAAGTTGTAGCCTGTTCACATTTCAGTTTAAAACTTTTTCAAAGAACTAAGAAATTATCTACAGGAGCAGTGATACATGTACATCAAAGGTGAATATTAAAGTGCTCAGAAATGTAGACAGTTTCACTAACACTGTTTGTTTTTCTTTTCTTCGAGGGGCAAATGTTCACACAACAGACCCAAGCCGTGGACTGACTTCATGGGAATGGGCTTGTTATACAGGAAGGTCAGAATCTGCTTTCATCATGCAAAGGCTGATGGATAAACCATGCCCTGAACAGTTTTGTGATCAATATAAACCAGAATGGCCAAAGATGAAGGAACTCCTTGCCAAGGCTGCAGAACCAAAAACCTGTTTGCAGAGGATTTCTGAGTGTATGAGGTCAGTTGTCTCATTCCGGGCTTTCCATGGCCCAGAAGAGGATGGGGTCCTTGATCACATGGTGAAGGTGACAACAAGCTTAGGCAGTCCTTTCGTTGCTCTGTCATGTAGGACTGTGTGTCCAGGAAGCCCACCTTCTGTGGGAAAACGCAGACTGGCTGTGCAAGAAATCCTTAGGAAGCAGAGAGCTGAGGAGATCCGATCTCAGGACAAAGACCACGTTAGCAGCTATGAGAAGTTATTTCAGAACTCCAAAATCACAGTAATCCCCAAAAAGAAGGACCGTCGAGCAAGTCTGCAGCCCGTCAGCCTTGCAGTGTCTCAAGTGAGCACCATAGCCACCAGGAAAACAAGCCTCTTGCCACTCCACCTGCTCAGAAGAAGTAGCGTGAGGCCAGGATTTGTCATCCCCAAAGTCCGTGTCAGCAAAGCCCCTCCACCCACCTTTCAACCGGAAAAGGCAAGAAGGAGGAGCAGCGCTAAAGATGACCCCTACTTGCAGATTCCTAAGTGGAGATACAAGGAGCTAAAAGAGGAGCGGAAGAAGGCAGAGGAGCAGGAGAAGAAAAGAGTAGCAGAGGCTCAAAGACAGAGGCAGGTGTCTCCTGCCAGAAGCAGAACCTGACTTACTGGCAGTTACTTGGAAGGTTTTAGAGCCATTAGTCTTGTTATCTGAGCAAGATAACAGACTGCGTGCCGTCATGCATGCCTGCTGTTGATGGAGCTGGAATACTGTATAGAGGCCTTTGTGGTGCAGAAACATGGCAAGGGCTATACCACAATGCGTCTGATTATGGAAGGTGAAGTTATTTTTGGGTGGAAGACAAAAAAAAGTTTACCTGTATGCCGTTGATAGGAAGTTCAAATGTTTTTTTTCTTATTTCCAGTTCCAGCTGAATGACTGCAAAACTGCTTGAAAAACAGTGTGTGTGAAAGGATCATATTTTGTGTTTGTTCATTTTGTAATGGGCACAATTAAGGAGTTGTATTTTTGACACTAGATATTATTTCCTCTCCTTGTATAGGTAGGCATATTACAAAGTTTTATAGAAATAATGAAAAGTGTAAAATATATCACAGTCTCAATGGGCAGTGAAAATCTAAGTCTACTCTTTTTTTTTAATGTATGAAGCACTTTATGGCATATTAATTCTAATAATCAAAGATTAGTGCAAGGTAGATATTGAACTGTATATCTCTATATGGTCTGTGTGGATACATTTCCTAATGTTTTTGTTCTGTGTTGAATATAAAGAGGGCTGCATATGAAATATTTCTGTAGCTGAGGTACTCACATCATCTACAGATATAAATCAGGGATAATGACTGGTTTCTTTGGAGCAACAGAGAAGTTGAACTAATTTTTGTATGACACAGTCACCTCTAACATTTGCCTCCTCCGTTATGTTTCCCTGTATCCTCTATCTGTTGTCTCTTCTTTAGTCTCAGGGATTTTTTTGTCTTGGCATTTAACTGTGAAATAATGGAGATGGTGAACCTCAGGTGGGTTTAGATTTGTCTTTTTCCTTTGATATTTAAATTTCCTGCTAATAAATAAATAAAAAAGCACCAGTTTATTATCAGTGTCTACTCCGCAACTTTTCCAGGTTATAACCAAGACAGATTAATTATGCACTGCATGGGAATTGTTGAATCACGGCCTGTTGAATCACTGATTGATCACCTGAGGCAAGAACTGAGTCAGCCATGGGAGCACAGGTGAAGGCAATTCAGCTGTGTGACTGGAAGGGGTGGAGCCTGGCTGCACCTCTTGCAGACCCCATTTAAGGGCTGATTGCCACTGGGGAAGAGTCTCTTTCTGTAGATGTTTCCTTCTGGGGATTGCTTAGGACGCAGGATTGAGCCATGCTGCTCCACAGTTGAAGGCTGAAATGTCAGATGTCCAGTCTCTGAGCCTAAAACCCACTGGATATATGAGGACCATACTATCCTCACTATATGAAGACTTTCAGAGCCATTCCAAAATTAGATCTAAAATGTTTTGTTGGCCAGAGAAACACATTGTGCTTATACAAACGCCCATCCTTTGGTACGCATGAGTACACTTTGTTTCACAGGTTGGTGCTGGTTCTCGTGGTCCAGATTAAGGCTGTATGTGCTTCTACCAGAAGGCAGTCCGAGTGATGTGCCAGACCCTGGAAAATCCTGGTAAGGAAAGGCTCTATTCTTGCTGCTTGCTGAAAAAAGAGCACATTCACAGAGGTGGAAGCCAAAACATCTCAGAGGCTGACCAGAAACTCACTGAATTTGTAATGAAACTATACACATCATGGGAAAAATAAATTCAGTTGGCTATAAACTCGCATTCAGGTCGGTACTGCTAGTTTGGGGTCAGGTCTCCACAGAGGTTATAGCTGACTGGTGCAACAAGGATGTTAGGCAGAGCCTAGTCTTTGTATGTCTTGCTGGAAGAGCTGTGCTGACTGGACTGCGATATCAGATTGCTTCCTTTGTCCTGAAGTGATGCAGTAATGACCCTGCTGATAAACCTCTCCACCCCTATGAATATAAAGATGGTTTTGGTCTGCACAATGCATTTGTCCTGTGCAATTCATAGGCACTGCTTTTGTAAAGGGTTTGCTGTGACCAGAATGTAAGGCTGCTCTTGTTTCTCCAGAGAGTGGGAAAACGCCCTTTTAGTCATCTGTAGCAAAAATGGCAGGATGGATTTGGATGTGGTGCACTACATTGAATGGCTTTACTATTAATTTCTGCTTACTGCCAGCCAAGTGTACTGGAGATTTAGCATTTGGATTGAGTGTGGAAAAGAAACCTGTGCTGCAGGTGAAATTGCACTCAGTAGGACTTGCAGGAGGCACACAGCTGCCAGGTGCTCTCAGGGATGAAGGTGCAGTGTGTTAGTGATAGGAGCTGAAGCCCTGAAGCCTGCTTTCTAGCCCTTTGTACTTCATTGTACAAATGTAAGTGTGTGATGTTTCCATTAAAAGAAGCACAAGCTCAGGAACTTATTGGTGACTTTATTCCTCAGATGGACTTGGGGTGCTGCCTCCACTTCTCAGTGCAGGGGAGCAGGGAGGGGAAGGAGCACTGCTGCTGGGTGGTGGAAGAGGAGGAGGCCCTGGCACAGGCTAGGCAGCTCCAGATGGTGTTCTGCTGGGTGAAACCCAGAGGTGATGCTGTCTGATAGGTATCTGTGTCCCTTCAGAGCCCACAGAGAGAAGCATGAGCTGTCTGTTGGATGCTGAGGGTTCAAGGCCCTTCTCCCCAGTCCATGTCCCAGATCGCTGTTGTGGGCCCAACGAGTGCCAGCAGCTGCAGAGCTGCTAGGGAAGGCCAGCAGGGCAAACCGATTTGTGAGAAATGGGAATAACCCTTCCATTTTTCTTCCTTTTAAATCATCGCTTGCATAATTACAAACCAACCATTTGGGTCATTTAAAGAGGTTCTTCATTACTTAATTGCTCACCAAGAGAGCAAATTCAGCAGAGATATGGCTGATGAGCAGCCAGCGGTCTTCTTGAGTCAAGCAGGACTGGATTGACAGTTCTGCACTGCCTCTCAGTACAGTAAATCATTCAATTAAACCTCTGAATTCCCAGCCACTAATGAAAAGTGCTAAGCTGATGTTATTCGAGATAATGATGAGCAGAGATCGTCTCTGGGCAGTGAGGAACGTGAACGTGGGCTAACGGAGGCAACGGGGGGAAGAAAACACGTTTATGTTCACTTTGTAACTCTGATGTAAAACAAGATTGGCTTTTGACCCAACTTCTGACTGTTGTGCAGACAAGACTTAGAAGCAGACACAAAGGCTTTCTCTGGTCCGCCAAGGAGTATATTATTTAAAAAGAAATTGATTTGGTGTGAGCCTCTTCAGTGCCTTCTCAGTTTCTCAGAAGCGGCTTTCCTGGTCATTCAGAGTCACTGTTTCCAACATTTTTCTGAGCACCAGATAATTAGTCTGTACATCGCACACAAACATATCTACTTACTTTCTTAGAGAAGTTGGTATAGATATTAAAATGTTTTACTGTGAAATATCACTGCAGTCATTAGGGGGTAAAAATTGATTTTTTAAAAAAATTGTTTTAAAACTTTTTTTTTAAAAAAAAAAAAACAACCCTACAAAATGACTGAGACCTCAGTGCCTCTCTTTGCTGTTATGAGTGGCTCTGATTGATGCAACAGCAGTGTATGTCCTGCATAGCGCCATGTGTGGAAAAGAAAATAAATAGATTGCAAGTAGCACGAAGAAAAGGACTTACTGAATGGACAAATCCATTGCTGCAGTAATCCCAAAGGCTCTTTTGAGGCTTTTTATTCATCAGTGGCTTTGGACAAAGAATTGCAGAAGACTTGATTTGGGGGAAAAAAGGAAAAAAAAGGTTCATTTAAATCGATAATTAAATCAATGTTTAGATGAAGCCATGCTTTATAATGCTGCATATTCTGAATAAGGACATCCCAAGCATGGCAAACTGAATGCCCCAAATCAGCGAACAACTTAATTCTCTGCCTGTGTAATGATATTAATTATGCATGGTATTAAAATAACCCATAAAACTAACTATAGGAAACACAGCCATACATCATTAACATATATAGTAGCAGATTATTTAGCACTTATATACTCATGTGCATTTACACATCTATAAAATATACACATATGAAAGGCCTCTCACCTCCTAGTGATGATATAGGGTACTCAGATATGCTAACGATGACTGCAGTATGAAAGCCAGCAGTAAGTAATTGTTCTCTAATAGCCTTTCATTCAGGCCATAAAACAGGCTACAAAGAGAAACCAGACCAGCTGCCTTCTCACTGAACACCACCACGGAGCTCTTGCATGGAAAAAGGCAGGGTGTTCTGTGAAAAATTGTACTTCATCGGGTAATTAAAGTTACTGTGCATATTAATTTTGCCTAGTCAGGTTTAAATCTGGCATTCTGTCTGCACATTTAAATTCACAATGCTCTCACCATTCTGTCATGGCTGCAGAGCTGTGTCTATTGAACAGGTCAAATGCTTCCGTTTCAGTCCACTCTGAGGAAGCAGAAGAGGCTGAGGAAATGGATTTGGGTGGTTCCTTTCCCCATTGCAGCAGCTTCCAGCACAAATGGCATTTGCTGCTTTACAAAGCCGTTCTTCCCAAACCAACCAACAAAACTGTTAAGAGGCAGATGAGCACAGCCTATGCTAGGAGGCTCTATCCTGAGTGCACTTATCTCATAGAATCATGGAATTGTAGAATCATTAGTGTTGGAAAAGAACATCAGCCCATTCCTGCCATGCCCACTAACCACATCCCTCAAGCCCACATCCACACATTTCTTGAGTACCTCCAGGGATGATGGTGACTCTACCAACTCCCTGTGCCAGTGCCTCACCAATAACCAGTATACCAATATCTCAAAAGGCTCCAATCCAGCTAGGAGCACTTGTAAATGCAGATCGAGAGATGGGCACAGGAACTGCCACCAGCTTCTCTGTCTAGCAGGCACACATGAGCACGCATATGGCATTTTTACAATCAGTGCCATAGCAACTAAGACCTGCTGAGGGCAATGTTAGCCATCAAAGGTGTTTTCTGAGTACCTGTGTTCAAGGTGATAAAATATTTACATTCCAACTGCATCTGGCAGAGGGAGCTAAGGTTTCCTAGTGCTTGTTGCCATTGTGTTGCAGCCAACTTCTTGCAGGAGCTGGTGGCATTGGGATGTTCTACATCATTGTGTGGCAATGTTAATGTGACACAAATCAATATATGATTCAGTTAAGTAATAGCCCCATTAAAAGCCCTGTTCCAGCATTTCAAAAGCATATACAAATGCAGTTGTATTGAAAATAGACTTGCTTTATTGCCAGCTTGGCTGCTTTCCCAGGAAAGGGCAGTGAAATAGTTGTCACTCAGGATTTGCCCAGCTTCTATGGTCTTACATGGAAAGATAAGATATAATCTCAGCTTCCCCGAACGTATCATTATAAGCAAAATAAAACAACTCTCTTCTGCTGAGCAACAGAACTGAACAGACTGATAGCACCAGATTTAGGGTACTCTGTTTTCTCTTGAAAATCTGTTTTGAAAACTCAAGTTCTACCAGCATGTTCATTTTAGAAAGTACTTTCTGGATGTGTTTGACACGTCATTTTTTTTTTGATTTGTGAAAACTATGGGGTTTAATTCTGCATATGATGGGTTACATTAGCTTTTATTCTCAAGTCCATGGGCACAATGAGCAGCATTTGCCTGTGGTTTTCCAGCCCCCATGAAGCGATCTTCTGCAAGAGTCTTCTTGGACCTATGTGAGGCTTTCTACACCACAGGGGGAGTGTCCCTTCAGTGTCAGTGGCTGTTGAGTCATAAGCAGCAGCCCTACAGGGCACCTGCAGGCACTGCTTGTGGTTATGAGCTCACATTGAGCTCTTTGCAGTCTTGAGTAACCACATCCCCAAAAACCCGTCCTTTTATGAACCTTCAATTGAGCTGTCTTAAGGTTTCTGTGACTGACCTATTTAATGTGCTCTGAAAAAGTCAAGAGCAATGTGCTGGAGTTACACTGCACATCGGCTGTCCACACAGCCAGGTCTCTTGATTAGATCTGGTCTGAATTATAAATAAATAATTATTAATAAATAAATAAACAAATTTACTAATTAATAAAAAAGCAGTTGAACTGTTTTAAGTAAAGAGTTAAGCTGAG